GTGCAAAATGCAAATTCTTGCACTTTTTTGACTGGTCTTAAGATTTTGATCAGGAGTGTATATATTTATATATAAACAAAACAAACATCTCAGTTCTCTTTTATTGATCAACAATGAAACACATTAATAAAAATGTTGTGTACGTCCACAACTTTTGCATGTTTCAGTCAAAATAAATACAGAAAATATTTGTTACTGTTCAACTATGTGTATTTATTTGGTTTCTCCTCCCTGCTTTGCTAACTGCACTGTGTGTTACAGGTTTAAACTGAATATTTGGGACGTGGGCGGTCAGAAGTCGCTGCGCTCCTACTGGAGGAACTACTTTGAGAGCACAGACGGGCTGGTGTGGGTGGTGGACAGCGCCGACCGGCTCCGGCTGGAGGACTGCAGGCTGGAGCTCAGCTCACTGCTGCTGGAGGAGGTTTACAACATTTTACTTTGAGCTCTCATGAATGTAATCGTAGTCAAACAGGTTTACATTCATTATAGTTGTTTTACAGCTGATATAAGTTGTAGTGAAACAGCTGCTGTTCAACTGTTTTCTCCCTGATCAGAGGTTAGCTGGAGCGACTCTGCTGGTGTTCGCCAACAAACAGGATTTACCAGGAGCCTTGTCCAAAGAAGCAATAAGAGAGGTGAAGTCTATAAATAATCTGATGGGGCCATGAGAATAAAGTTGTAATAATACCAGAACAGTTAGATCATGAGAACCCTGCAGTACAATGAGGAATGTTGGAGCATATTGTGAAGTTATATTTTAGCATCACATCAGCATCAAACTTATCAGTAGCCAGATCTTGAATATGACTTCTGATCAGTGTATGTGTTTTGTAAGTAGTGTATAACTTTAACGTTGTGGTCCTGCAGGCGTTGGCCCTAGACGACATCAAGAGTCACCACTGGTGCATCATGGGCTGCAGCGCAGTGACAGGAGAGAACCTGCTGACAGGAGTGGACTGGTTAGTGGACGACATCGCTGCAAGGATCTTCACAGCCGACTGAAGGACGTCATTGTTGCAGCACTTGATTTGTCAGCTCTAGGACTTGAACATTTTTCCAACTGAAGCTTCTGTATTTTGTTAAATGATTTGCACCTTTATTTTGTCAAAACTGTTCAAAATGTAACCTGCTTTATTGAATGGCCTGTTTTTTTATATAATGCAACTAAATTTATTCATCAGCAACCTGTTTGTCTTGATTACTCATGTTCAAAGCTGCTGCTGAGCACATTGTTATTTTTGAGCTTGTTTTCCCAGAAATCATTTCATTTCCATGAAAACAGACAAATTTACAGGCAGTTAAACTGAAGCCTTAATGTAACGACTTGTTTTCATAATAGGCTTTAAAACTTATGTAATGATCAAAACTAGTTTTAAACATCCATGCCAAGTTCAGAACTTGTTTAAACTGATAAAAATGCTACGTGTGCAGATCAATACTGAAATATTGATACCAGAACTTTGTTCTACAATCAAAATAATATACTGCAGTTATTTTTAATCTAGTCTTAATCATGTGGTTAGAGCAAACTACTTTTTCTTCTGCTTGGGTAATGCATGTGTAGAGCCACACATTCTCAGTCAGTCTGTAGATGTATGGCAGGTCATTTTAACAAAATCTGCTTCAGCTAACTAAATTCTAGTTCCCAAACCTTTTCATGCCATGGCCCACCCAAACAGCATTAAGTCTGGCCAAAGATTTTCTTTGTTACTTTGTAGCACTGAGTTTTGCAGATTGTTCTCATTTTATTCATTAAAATAAATTCAAGAATAAAAATTGTTTTTGACAAATGTAAGGTTAGGGTTAGAAATAATAGTGGTTATTTGAAAAACCCTACTTTACCAGACTTATTAAATTATCAGTATCTGTAATACCAGCCAAATTTTACTCCGTATCAAACATCACTGGCTCCATCTTACTCAAAATCCTGTTTTGATATTTTACCTAAAATGAACTGGTTGGAAAAAGTTGTGCTTACAGTAGTTCTAAATCTTTTAATGGTTTATACCACCACCTACTGGACTAAATCAGCACAACTTTATTTTCCAAATTCCACCTCTTGTGCTTTTATACTTCAGAGACAAAACCCATGAATGTGTTTATATATTTTATTAAGTTTAGTTACACATCCTTTAAAGTAAAACAGCAGAAAAACTTGTCACCACTGGACGACAGCAGAACTGATGATCTTCAGACTGTGGGAGGAGAGAACCAGTTAAAAGTTGGAAAGCTTCAGTTCATTAGAAATGATCAGAGAATACCAGTCAGTCATAAACTGTCAGACTGGGGAGGCAACAAATTTTTGTAAAAAAAAAAAGTTACTTTTATGTTTAGATTTGTGAAATACTCACCATCAGTGAGTTTTAGCCATGAGCCTCTTAGGTCTTTCTGCTGCAGTGAGAACCCTGAACCACAACTGTGGGACAAGAAAACTTGTTAGAAGTGAAAGAGAGAAAAATATAAAGAAATGTTCACGACAAAAATCAGAAAATACCAATCAGTCATGAAGTTTCAGACTGGGGCGGTAAAAAAAACTCATCATTTGTTTAAGTTTAAACTTTACACTTACAAACTTGTTGAACACTCACCAACAGTTTGTTTTAATCTTTAATCACTGTCGTCTTCTGCCTGTTAAGATCAAATGTTTACATTTATTAACAAGAGTATTATTAAATTAAAGTTATTAAAGTTTCAGTCTTCAGAGGTTCTACAGAATCTCAGGTCTGGGTTGTTATCAGCAATTGTTGTCAGTCAGACACTCAGCCAGATCCTGGTCTCCATCAGAGCCCAGCAGGTCACCTTACACCTGATGGACAGGGTTCTCAGTGCCGTACTGGGTCAACAGGAGGGAGCAGCAGCTGAGAATGGGATGGGTCAATCCCATGACTGCTACTGCAACTCATCATTTCACAATCCCAGCAACAACTGGGCCTTGCTAAATTTAACTAACAAATAAAAAATAAATCCATTTCTTTACCAGTCCTAATGCAGTCCAGTGAGGTCAGGTTTGGACAGAACCTGCAGACAGACAGAGGATTAGTGATCCAGTTTGATGAACAGACATGAAAACCTACAGACTTGAGCTCAGAGAGGATACCAGTCAGTCACAAGCACTCAGACTGGGGCGGTATCATGGTGGTCATCACATCTGCTCATTAAGTTCAATCTAACTGCAGAACAAACACACCTGAACTGCACAGCCACACCTTTCCTCTCATTTACAGGAAGCAACAGGAACTGTGACGATCTTCACTCTGTGGAGGAGAAAACTGGTTACAAGTAGGAAAGCTTCAGTTCTTTAATGATTAGGGGGAAAAAAAAGTGATCAGAGAATACCAGTCAGTCATGAACTTTCAGACTGGGGCGGTAAAAAACTCATCATAGTTTAAGTTAATTTTATGTTTAAATATTTGTTAAATGCTCACCGTCAGTCTGAGTTTTAGCCATGAGCCTCTCAGGATTCTCACTGCAGCAGGAAAACCTTCAAACCTGTGGACAAGAGCACTTGTTAGAAGAGAAATATAAAGAAATGTTCAGGACAAAAATCAGAAAAACACCAGTCAGTCATGAAGTTTCAGACTGGGGCGGTAAAAACACATGTTTAAGTTTGAACTGGACCACATTTATGAAACAAACACTCACCAACAGTTTGTGTTTTAATCTTTAATCACTGTCATCTTCTGCCTGTAAAGATAAAATTTTTACATTTATTAACAAGAGGATGTCAAGTTTTAGTCTTCAGAGGTTCTACAGAATCTCAGGTCTGGGTTGTTATCAGCTATTGTTGTCAGTCAGACACTCAGCCAGAGCCTGGTCTCCATCAGAGCCCAGCAGGTCACCTTACACCTGATGGACAGGGTTCTCAGTGCCGTACTGGGTCAACAGGAGGGAGCAGCAGCTGAGAATGGGATGGGCTGCACAATCATCCCATGACTGCTATGGGCATCCATCATTTCACAATCCCAGCAACAACTGGGCCTTGCTTAATTTAACAAAAAATTAAATATAAATAAATCTATTTCTTTACCAGTCCTAATGCAGTCCAGTGAGGTCAGGTTTGGACAGAAGAACCTGCAGAGAGGACACCAGTCAGTCACATGTAGGCCTGTCACGATAACAAATTTTGCTGGGCGATTAATTGTCTCAAAATTTATTGCGATAAGCGATAATAT